ACATTTGAAAAGAAGGACAAGTACAAGGGTGTACATGGAGTATGAGGACAGTTTATTGGGAAGTGGAATGAAGGCAAAAAAAAAAGCAAAATTGAGGGATCGGGGAAGAAGAAAAGGGTGACCTAGAAGAACTAGTAGAGGATTGAGAGTCACAAGGAAAGTAAACCAGGTGAGTTGGGATAAAAGAGGCAGCAGAAAAAGGGTTAGAGATATTGGGGTGATGGGTAGAGGGTAAAGCACAAAGTAGGGGAATCAATAGGAAGAGGAGGGGGCAGGTGGAAGTGTAGTAGAGGAGGAGCCTGCCATTCTGGTACCCAACTCCAATCTAAACAGCAGGAGGAAGCTGTAAATCAGACTAATGCGACCAAGCTGTAATTCAGACCAGCAGTGCCAGGGCGCTAGTGCGGGGACCCCGAACGGCGGGTGTACACAAAATGCTGCCGAGAGGCTTTAATCAGTGCAACGATCCAAAGATACGGTCTCCCCCAATCAGCGGGCTTCCTGTCAGTCACACACGACTGAACCGGACCAATCAGGCTCCACCAAGGTTCCAGACATGCTGGCTGGGCTTTGGGCTGCTGCCAAACAAGAGAATTATTCATCTAAACTGGAAAGGTGGAATGGGCCTTTAATTCAGAGCATAGAGGGAAGAGGTGATAGATTTGTCAAAGGTTGGACATAAAAGACTATGGGATCATGTTCTACAATGGCTCATCAGAAACATATGGTGGAAGATGAGAGACACAAGGGAGCTTTAGAGAAGGACTTAATCATATTCATAAGGGGGGAGTTCCTGCAAGTTTAAGCACCAGAATATGTGACAGGCATATCTGTTCAGATCTGTTAACAAGAGCTCTTATGCCAATAAATCTCTCATTAAACACGAGATGAAAAAAAATCACACAAAAGCCCCATTATGAGTTTAATCTGACAACTTGTTTAATAAACATAATGATGTTCACAGCTGCTGACTGTCCTAAAAAAAACCCAACCAAACAAAAATAAAAATATTTCCATCGATCTTTGTCTAGTTCTCCGTGTCTAACATGTCTAACAGATCTGCTGTTGGCAGTCACCTCTCTAATTACAATTACAACACCCATGGGACTTCCATAATCCTTGCCAGCAATGAGCTACAAAATAGTAAGTGAGATGAGAAATTGCATCAAACTTACCATGAAAACATCATTCGAACTCCGAGCATGTAAAACAGGCAGACAAACTTTCAAATTGCTCGCTATCAGAAGCTGCCTTTTTATACCTGCTTTTCACTCAAAGGGGAAGGAGGGCAATGCATTAACTTAAAAGTGAGCGGAAAATGCAAATGTAGTCCACTTTATCATCAGGCATTCAAACAGACCCTTTCAACTCGACAATCCATAATATTTCAGCTTTGATGATCAGGAAATGGCCGTGGCTCGATGGTAACACCGAGCTAGATTCTGCTCTGGTAGTGGTGTAGTAGTAGAACTAGTGTGACTGGCTGGGCTACACACACTGTGCATGTTAAAGCCACATGCAGAGTCTTGGCAGTAAAGACGCTACAGCAGCAGCCAATCAATAAAACCTTGTTACGCTAATTGCGAGATCATAATCTCCATTCCTACTTCTGCTGAATATCCAAACAGTCACTCCATTAGCCGAATTATTCCCCTGTGCAGTTTCTCCATCTCCACCCCTCCCCCTTCCATTTCCTCCTCGTGTTCTCTTTTCTGTGACATATTTCTCTCAAACAGCAGTTCTGCTAAATTAATTCATAAGTCAGGGAGAAAGACATCAAAAGAAAACATTGTCAAGGTAAAGTGCTGATGAAGTATATACTGTTTCTTTCACTTTGCTGTGGAGCTATGAGAAGGAATCTCTCACAGTGCATTATCTTTGATCGTGTCGCTTCGCACTGCTCTGTTTAGTTATAGCGAGAGGAATCTTACCTCAGGTGATCTGGTCTACTAAGACCTTTATGATACAAAAGCCTCTCTACTTAGGAGGTGCTCTAATCCTTGCCACTGTGGAGATTTTCTCAGTTCAAACCTCTGTGACAACACTAGGAAATACCAGAGCTTCTTCTCGTTGGTTACTCTTTTCTACAATGATGCCAGGACAATGGCCAGTGGCCACAGGGGCAGACAAAGAGCTTGTTGATGCTAAGACCAGGGTCCATGACCTTGTCATTGAATCACTAACACTTTGTCACTCTGCTTGGGGGGAAAAGAAACTCTACAGAGAACTAAGGAGGGTCAGACAGCGATGCTCATGGGAACATCGATATGACAATGGCACTGACCCCATTTCCTTGTGACTCATCACTAGAACGTACCCATCTAAGCACTGAACAGTCTGATAAGGTTGCGTTGCCAGATTTACTCACCAGCACCCTGTGAATGACCTATATGAATGTGCAAGACATATAGAAAATTAATTCATATAGGTAAGCCACGTTAAATAGAGCAATTACATGGTGAAACCGAAGTGAGAGAAAGCCGAGCACTGAAAAATACACTCTTCACAGAGTTTCGAGGCAGAACTGCTGACCCAAATGCATTTAAATGCAACGGGGGTAGAGACTGAAAAAGAGAAACAGTGAGCAAAAGAGCAAAAGAGGGGGAGTCAGAGAAAATGGGTGAAAGATAAGTTGAGGGAGATAATAAAGCAGCAACCACAGAAAAGTCAGCTTTAGGCAGTATGATTAGTTTAAGTTCGAGATAGAACATACTGAGAATAGCAGAGCACACTGCTGTATACCGCACCCAACTGTTCTGTAAGAATAACACTAATTAATAAAGGATAAGTCTTGTTTTACCTAAACACTTGCAAACAGCACGAGCGTTAATGCAGTTGCTTCTGAGGAACACGAAGCATATACTAGCAGGTATAGAATCGTATTTTTCGTGTCGCATTAGTGCAAGAAACGATTGCACTTTATCAAAACATGCTTTGATAATGTCAATCAAACTGCGGCTTTGTTCCAAATTTAGTGACTAAACACTGAAACGGAAAGCATGCATGGATATAAAAAATCCCTTTATTAGTGCTTATGATGTCGTTGATGTGAAATGCATGATGAAAATGAGCTACCGAGTGGTAGTTTGAGAACATTACAACGAAATAATTAATTGAAAAGTTAATGCATAAAACGAGTGAGGTTACATTTTGTGTGTGCTGACCACGAAGACGGTGTAATGTAAGAGTAAGTAGAATGGGTTAGTGACGATTATTCAAATTGTTCAGTGAACCGTCTCAACAAAGGTGCCCTCAACCTTTATTTACAGTGACTTTTTTCCAGCGCGATCGCACTATTTAAAAATCTGCTTGGATAAAAAATGTAGCACAGCTAAAGAGGTGCAGATCAGTGATTTTTGGATTTTCCCATCTCTATGTTTTGTTGTCAGAGTGTGTGTCCACCCCTTAGGCCTCCCTGATTCTAGCTGTCAGAGGGAACGAGAGGCTAAACTTGGTGAAGCGGAGAATAGAGCAAGGCACATGTCAAATGTGAGGGGATCTTGAGTAAACAAAGTATAACACAGAGCAAAGCAAAATCGTCTCTCATCCTATCACCGTCTTTCACGCTATTTCCCTCTGTCTCTTTGTCTCCTGCTTCCCTGTTTTCTACCTATCTGCCGCTCACTCTTGTCTTCTCTAACAAACCGCAATGCTTCACCCTCCCATCAGTAACTGGTGCTGATGTCTAATCAGTCAATCAGCACTACAGTAAAGCCACATGTGCTATATGAAATTAACTGATAAAAGTAGTGGTTAGCAGTTTTTTAGAAAGTGAAGTATCTGCATGACAAATCTGTCAAATAACAGCGCTGTCCCACTTAAAATGACTTTGTGGCAGTCCTAATAGTCTGAGCCATCTGAATTAACTTTACATGTGTAGAAAAGACAACACAAGCAGCTCTGTGTCCTACTCTGGGACATAAGCCAAACCTTAACAAACCAGAGCATTAAGAAATTTAGCAAAAAAGCAAATGCAACTGAAACACAGAACTACTGTAGCCTACGGGTTGGTTTTAATAATTGCAATTGACAGGGACAAATTCCCCGCTCCCCTGTGTATGTCAGATGGGCTTATTCCCAAACTCCACAAATCCCCCAGTCCAAACACAACCATATGGTCTCCCAGTTGTTCATGACCAGCTGTGCTACAGTGTATCTGGCAGGGTTGCCATGTGCTTTAGAAGAGCAGCGACTCGCCCATTCTAACTTAATAAATTCTTTGTAATGAAGCCAAAACATTTCTTTATGTCGGCTTTTGCCAAAATTGTGTGCAAAGAGAATGACTGAATATCAGGAATATAGGGAAGTAAAATTGTATGACGACTCCGTCACTTTACAGTAAGGTCAACGCTCTTTTTATGGGAAATTTGCATAGTTTCACTGGTTTAGCTTCTCTGGTTTCTGTGTACTTAGCAGAAATCTAATCATGATAGGTTAGTACTGTGATGAATTGCTAACCCAGTGCCTACTGCACTATAAACGTAGCAGCAGTGTTCAGCTTCAACTTATAAAAGACAAGAACACATGTTTTATGTTTTATATTATGACGTAACCAATCGTATATTTAATAAACATCATGTCTTATATTTCAAGAATATAGTTCTTTAAAAAATGCGCTTACAGTGCTTAATTTTAAAAGAGGCATTTGAATAAGCAGATGAAGTAGCCCATAAATTTCATTGTCAAGTACATATGTAAAAATGTTGCATTTATTACTACATTACCAATTTTACTGTTAATTGCTCTTTGAATGATTGTAACATCATTTTATTTGTTTGCATGCAACATATGGAATATAGCATGCTCCGCGTGGCATATCTGTGAGTCTAAAAAAGAATAAAATATCTTTAGTCCACTTGCTTTCAGCTTATGTCACATAAGTGTGTGGTTCCTTTCAGTAACAGCGACTTATTGTACATTTCAACAAGACTTGACAACAGTGAAAGAAAAACGGCTTCAAGACTATTTAAGGTCTTCCATTATTAGAAATTTGGACTCACCTGGTTTGGTGCGAGGAACTCGTGATTGTTTTCGTTCATGTACATGTTGTCACCATCAAACTGTAGTGCAGAGACACAGGGAGTGAGAGAGAGAGAGATGAGAAAACAGTGAGGCAGAGGCCAACAGATCACAAAAGGGATAAAAAAAAAAAGAAATTCTGTCAGTCAGTGCCGATACAGAAAGAGTGTAACACTGCAGCCTAATGACTGCAATAGACCTCGATGCTCCAGTGAATGTCAGTAATTACAGTTCATTAGAGACTTGTATAATTAGGCCCTGTCAAAGCTTGTGTAACTCACACTCTTCCTCTTAGCTTGCCTACAGCCTGAGTGTGTGTTTGTAAGTGTTATGCACACCTAACTGCCATTATTCTCCGTGTGTCATGAAGCAACAAAGGCACAACAGAGTAATAATCGCAACTGCAGCCACCGATGTCTAGTTAGTTGACTACCCAGTTGGTTCAGTCAGTCAATCTTGCACATTCATATCTACTAAAGAAAAGTTTTTTTTCATTTTCTTTCCAATCGCTCTAGAATGAAACGGTCTGTTGGTTGGTCAGTGAGTCCACCACTTTTAAATAGTTTAACATGTATGGGACATATTTTCATAAAATAAAGTACAAATATCTAATATTCAGGGATTGTCCCTCTGGGGAGTTTTGCTCTACCACCATCATTAAGTTATTTTTTTACTTAATGACATTGCCATCGTCAACTACTGCATGTATTTAATGCAAATTAACAAATGTTGATTTGTGTTAAATTAACATTTGCATTTAGTGCAACATCAGTCATCTATGTCTTTCTCAACATTAGCCTGCTAGTACTGCCATTATTAGTATATTGTTTTGCAAGCCTCTGAGGCTCTGTAGGTGCTGATTTGTAAGCATGAAAGGTTAATCAAAGGCAGCACTGATGGCAGTAAATAACCTTTGTAAGTCACCTATTACGTAGTATTAATCAAGAAACTGATCTACTGTGCTAGAACGTCTGCTTGAACAAGTACAGGAGTTTCTAGTTTAAATGTTAACAAAGACAAGCATTAAAAATATTTCTGTTAAGATCATTCTGTTAAGATGAGACAAGTTTTTCACATGGAATTACATTTAAAAAACAAAAAGATGTAGATACCATGAAATTACCAATTGTTTTTTAGCCCCACTTTGAAGCTTCAGCTTTAGCACTATGATCGCTGCCATCTATGTGCTTTTTAGAGCCAGAATTCACTACGTCAGGACAAGAGACTCGAGTGCTACCCAAGCTGCATCATTAGAATATATGTGTGAGATGCACAGGTCTGCTAATTAATTGCAAGTCCACCCATCCATATTCTGCTTATCTAATTCAGACTGGCAGTTAGGCTGGAACCTACCCCAGCTGTCATGGGGCAAGAGGCAGCGTGCAACCTTGACAGGTCGCCAATCTACTGCACTGCTAAAACAGAGACACAAACAACCATTTACACCTAAGTCCAATGTAGAATCACCAATGAATCTAACATCCGTGTCTTTGGACTGTGGGAGAACATGTAAACTTCACCTAGAAAGGCCCCAGCCGGCCAGTGGATTCAAACCCAGGACTTACTTGATAACAGGTGATAGTGTTAACCACCACACCCTTAATTCAAATTAATATAAATACAAAAAGAGAATGTGGAACAAAACTTGTATAGTCTGTTTGCACAACTAACCACACTGTCGGAAAAATTCAGATCATTGCATTAAAAGCTGTCTAAAAGTCACCGACATCACAAACAAGGTCACTTATGTTCTCTGCCATTAAACTTGTTATTTAACCAGTTTCACAGTTTCAGTCTGTGGGGACTGACCTGCTTTGGGAACCAGCCTCAAGTGGACATTTTAAGAAGTACACTTTTTGGCACTTCTGCATACTTGCAAGTTTTTCAGACCCACAAGTTGCTGATCGTCTTTGTTTATATTGCTTGTTATATTTGCAAATAAAAAAATCATAAATGTAAAGCAAAACATTATCAAATTTATCAAATTATAATATGACACCAGCCTGTCACGTAATACACTAATAACCAAAAACGACATGAAAAACATGACAAAAAACATCCCAAGCCAACATTTTTACCAACCCTGCCACCTATTTAGTGATACACACAAAGAGAACAGCCTTTAGCTTGTTCTGCACTTTGCTAGTTAAATCAGGACAGGACAGCCCAGCGATTTCATAGCTCAGAAATACCAAGCTAAAGAAGCCTAAAGGGGAGGCATAGGCTAGAGAAAAGGTGACAGTTTGAGGTTATGGAGAGGCGATGAGAACGACAAGGGTGTATCCTGGAGCTAATGGGGAAGGGGATAGCGATCTTGTGCAAGTAGGAGGCCAAGTAGGGAACATACTGTAGGTATTTGGGGGGGGGGTTAGAGAGATACATTTAAAAAAAGCACAGGGAGCATGAATGACACTGACATAAAGGAGGAGAGGAGAAGGGCTGTAGCTGCAGTAGTGGCGACAGAAGCCTGTGGTTGTTCTGGCTGTACAGTGATTAACACTGGGGTCACAGCCAGAGGCCGCAGCTCGAAAGACACGGTCATATAAACATGCGCACACATTCACACACACGCACGCTCGCTCACACTCTCCCAGAGGCCTTCCCTCCCTCTCTGTCTGACACTATTTGGCACCAACCATTTATGAGAAAACAAAACACACCTCAAGACAGCTAGTAGTGGCCGAGATGAATTACTGTAGCTACTGTAAGGTCAAATAACGTGACTGGTTTGTGCCTACAGTGAGTCAGAGTGGGAGGGTGTTTCTCAAGCTCTGGCATGGTGACTGAAAATGGACCCGGGTCTTATTGTAGCAATTTTTCACCACATGCAAAGTGTTGCAGGGACCAATTTATGCAAATCACTTGTTCTTTTTTATCAATTCTGGGATTTTTTTTCCTTAACATTCCAATATTTCCATTTAAGTTATACTCAGATTCAACTCCAGCACAGTTTTCATTAACATTTATTTCCATCTTCATACATAACACATTGAGGGCAACAAACAAACCAAAGTACAAAGGCAATTCCTTGCAACATTATTCAATTCGAAGCCCCAGTTCCATTTCCATGTTATCATTCAGCCTCTGATGGAACTGTTACTTCTAGTGCAATAATTTCTGCCTGATAGCACTATTAGTTTGCAGAAGGAACAATCATTGTATTCTGCAATGAAAATACAATCACGTTCTTGCTCTTGGAGAATGATTTTACATGCTGTCTTACTCACATTGTGCTAGATGTCAAGGTGTCTTAGAATAGTTTATTTTCACAACTGCAAACCAGATCTCAATGAGCAAAACAGGGTAAGTGCAAAACAATTATATCAAATGTCAAAGGCGCAAACTGAGGTCTGCAACTGTGCTCTTGCTACACAATGGGAGGAGTCTCCAAGGGCAGAGCTGTTAAAATAATAAACACCATCTAAAATCAGAGGAAAAGGTAAAAATAATCATTTCCTGGTACTGTGAGGTTAGCAACTGGTGAGTGTACTGTACACACAGTTTTTACAAACCTCGGTTGTCATGCTGTGCTGATTTTTATTTAATGCTCTCACTCTAATCTGGAGTACGTCAAAAGGAATGATTTTACCTTTTGTGAAACGAAATTACTCCCCTTTCTTGCCTAGACATAGATGAAACCACCAATACCATTCTCCTGTCTCGACACCAAATTGATGACAATAATTTAAAAAACAGGCAATTAGATTCACTTGGCTGAGGAACCAGCTCATCTGAGTAAAGACCTTTAAAAAAGGGTTAGAAAACCTACCAGTTAACACATTATCTCATTACATTTTATTTGTTTAGAAAGAAGTAAGGACAAGAAGTTTTAGCAGCAATTATTTTTTTAGATGAGACTGTGTCTGGTCTTTATGCTGTGCTAAGCTAACCAGCTGCACTTGCATACCTTTTCTTTTGTGTTATTAAAGGCCAAACTCAATTCTAATCTTTCTGAATGAGCTTCGTTCAGCCAAGCACCTAGCTGAAGTGTTATCTCATGTTAGACGAATGTGTTTTATTTTATTATATTTTTCTTGTTTGTCTGTACAAATACGTGTGTGTGTGTATATCTACACATATATTCATATTCGTAAATGAAAATTCATGTAGACGAGTATATATTGGTTTTTTTGTTTGTTTTATTATGTATGAAATAAATAAAGATACAAAAGTGTACTTGACCAAGACTCTGAAGGCCTAATTTGATGCTTATCTCTAACCACTGACCTCTGACTGCTAGCCTCCAAGACCTTTAACTGACCACTGAGATTAATTTCCTCATTTCAAACAGAGAGAAGACAGACAAGGGCTCTGACGTTAGAGTAGATGATGCTAAAAAAACACGTAATTCATTATAATAAAGGCCTTTGGCAAACATTTAATCTACTAAAGTAATCAGGAAATAAGGGATGAAAATAAAGGAAAAATAAGTTGAAAAGTATACCAAATCTTGACTTTGTATAATCTGACTCTTAATTCGAAGATGTTTTCCCTAGAAGTCATAATGTGTGAACATAGAAGTAGCGGATATATGAGGAAAAAGGGAGGTTTGTAAGAGAACAGCATGCATGTCGTGTCTCTCTGTGTTTGCTTTCCTGTGGCTTCGAGGTCATTAATCATAGCGGTCAAATCTACAGCAAAACAATTGAGCAAAGGAAAACACAGACAGAGAGAGAGAGGTTGAAGGGAGGAGGAAAAACAGGGTGAAGGTGGGAGAGGTAGAAAGCTACAGGGAGACAGAAGAGGAGAAAATTTTTGAAAAAGATTGAGGCTTGAGAAAGAAAAGGGACAAGTTAGGCCTGTAGAACTGATGCAGCTGACACCAGTTTCTTGTTTGCATAGCAGAAATGCAAATAGAGAGTGAGGGAGAGAATGGGAGGGAGAAAATAAAGTGGGAGAGATGCTATAAATAACTTTGTGTTTGCGTAAAGCCAAACCAATGTCAGTTTGATGCAGGAAGTGCACCACAGTTGCAGAGGTTATAGAACAGTTGACTGAAACGCAGCATATCAGAAACTGAGTTTTGCAAAGCCTTCAAACA